CCCATTGCCCCCCCCATTTCCCACTCATTCCCTCACCCCCATGGTATCTGTGTCCATTGGTTAGGCTTATATTCATGCATACAAGTCATATGGTTGATCTCTCCCCCTTACCCCCACCCACCCCTACCTTCCCTCTGAGGTTTGACAGTCTGATCCATGCTTCTCTGTCTCTGGATCTGTTTTTGTTCATCAGCTTATGTTGTTCATTATATTCTACAAATGAGTGAGATCATGTGATATTTATCTTTCTCTGACTGGCTTATTTAGCTTAGCATAATGCTCTCCAGTTCCATCCATGCTGTTGCAAATGGTAAGAATATACATAATATATGAAGATGAATTACTAGTAAATGTGGCAAAATGAAAACTACATCTAGATGAAAAACATAACATGTTTTTGATACTTTACAACACTATATATATATATGAAAACTTTTAGAATAAAGAGTTGAAAAATTAATAAACATGAAACTCAAGATTCATTAAATATTTATGAGACAGACTTTTGAGGACTTGGAATCAAGGGTGAAGAAGGGAGGCAAATCTTAGGAGATTCTCCAGATTTCTGGATTAGGTGACTTTCCAGACAGGGCTTACAATCAACAGATCCAAGTAATGTGGAAAGGCCCTGTGTGAAGCAGAAGGAAATGAGTCCAGTTTTGTACTTAAACGAGTTTTGGCTTAGTATTTAAACACTAAAGGCCCAGTGCATGAAAATTCGTGCACTGGGGGGTGGGGGGGGGGGGGAGGGGTGCGCCTCAGCCCAGCCTGCACCCTCTCACAGTCCAGGAGTTCTCTCGATGTCCTACTGATGGCTTAGGCCCATGGGGAGCGGGCCTAAGCTGCAGTCTGGCCTCCCTCTGCAGGAGGCAACTGAGCGAGCCAATCAGGGGACAGCATTGCCCCTCATCACTGTGCCACTGCCGCCTGGCCTCCGACAGGATGGGTGATCAGGGGATAGCGCTACCCCCATCACTCCCGCTACTGCCGCCACCCTGCCTGGCCTCCTTCTGCGGGAGGTGACCGGACGGGCCGATCAAAGGATGGTGCCAGCCCCGTGCCAATCACCCCTCTGCCACTACTGGTCCCCCTACCCCATCGCAGTTCCTTCTCTCTGCCCACTGGCATGCGCCTTGGCTGGCCTGGCACCGCCTGCTCGCCGGCCCCGCCCCTCACCAACTGGTCGTTCTGCCGTTTGGTCGATTTGAATATTATGTTTTTATTATATAGGATATCCTTTCTTTTCTAAGCTCAAGTGACCTGATATATGTTAGTGGTTGTGTTGTGTTTTTTTTTTTTTGGGGGGGGTGGTTATTATTAAAGAGAAAACTAACTTGTGGAGTTGCAGTTTTGAAGCTTCTCAGCAACACCGAGACCCGTGTCTGACTCTCTGCTGCCCCTAAGTAGCAGAAGATGTCCATAGCAAGGAGAAGGAAATGGAAGCATGTTCTTTTTCAAGCCCCCAAAGGTTTGGTGGCATGCTCTTGATAATTAAAACTTTTTAGAAGTTATATGGTCATGTTGATGTGATTAGTGGATTTCTCAAAACATCTCAAGTTTGAATTTTAATAATTTCTTCTATTTTGATAGGCTAGCAAAAGATCCAGTGCTGGTTTTCACTCTTCTAGGTTTTCATTAAAACGTAACAATTTCTAGTATGTTTTTAAAGCTAAATGGCTATAAGATTATTTTCTAGCCTCACTTTGATACAGTTTTATTCACTTCATGCATGTGAACAAATATATAATTGACTAATCCCTACTTTTTTTTAATTGATTTCAGAGAGGAAGAGAGAGAGGGAGAGAGAGAGAGAAACATCAATGATGAGAGAGAATCACTGACCAGCTGCCTCCTGCATGCTCCTCACTGGGTATCAAGTCCGCAACCCGAGCGTGTGCCCTTGACTGGAATTGAACCTGGGACCTTCCAATCTGCAGGCCAACGCTCTATCCACTGAGCCAAAGCAGCCAGGGCTTGACTAATCCCTACTTTTTATAGAACTCATGTTCTTTTAGCAGCCTATTTGGTGCAACCTTTCTGGAGATGTTGAGTGTGTATTCCTATACAGAAGGTTAATTCCATTAGCTTTTTATAATTCATAATGAACATGATAATTTTATTTTTGAACAAAATATGATTTATATGTGTACTTACTTTTGAAAACTAGTATTTAGTAGGTGTAAAGTTTGTGATTTTTAACTCAGTAAAAATTTTTTCTCTTCTAGACAAGCTCCGAAGAAGTATGCCTAATCTAGCTCGGATGCCAAGCACAATGGGTGTTAGTAGCAACGTGAGTTCTCCGGTCACCGTGCGAAATAGTCAGAGCTTTGACTCAAGCTTGCACGGAGCTGGAAATGGGCTTTCAAGAATACAGTCTTGTAGTAAGTATATCAATTCTTAATTTTTTGTAATTTTTAGTTAGTCATAATACCATTAAGCAAATATCTTACTCTTCCATTTCTTCTTTTTCCTCTCAGGAACAATTTTCTCGTCTTGTAACTTTTTTTCCCCACAATTAAAATTGAGTAGTATTTTTATCAGTGCCTATGTTACCAATTACATAGTAAGTTATATGTAATTCTTCATATCCAAGGATAGCAGCAGAAGCACTAAATGGTGATTAATTATCACACAAAATCTGTTTTCTTTATAGATCTGCCTCTTTCTGTCTACTTGATACCTTTACTCTGAAGAAAGCACACCAGTTCTGTCTAGCTGTTACTTTCGTGTTGTTTTTCACTACCCCACAGCTTTTTCCCCCCAAAATGAAGTTTTATTATTTGTCTACTCCATTTCATCTTACTGCAGTCATTCTATGTTTTACACAGCAACAAACAGAGTAATGAGTGTTCAGTCGGGTGTTCATATTTTTACTTTTTGTGGGGATGCCATGGTTCCAGGCCCCCACACCCCCATTTCTGCTCATGTGGTCTATATAGGTAGTTGGGGTTAAGTCTGAACCTGACCCTGGGAAGCAGACTCAGTCATAGTATTGATATGTCCAAACCTATAGGCCTGGAGATGATTTGTCAACCAACAAAAGATTACGGTGTCCCAAAAACTATAGCAGAATTTTACATAGACCTTATTTTTTATTGAATTTGACTACTGTACACATACATCAGCACTCCTGGATATAGAATTCACCTACTATATACTTGAGAAAAACTAATTTAAGAAAATATTTTCAAGAAAATATTTTCAAGAGATCTATAATAATAAAAGAATAATATGCTAATTAGACTGGACAGCCAAATGACCTACCAGATGTCATTCTGGACGTCCTTCCAGATGAAGCTGCGGGGGCTGAGGCAGAGGCGATTAGGGGTGATCAGGCAGGCAGGCGAGCAGTTAGGGGCAATCAGGCAGGCAGGTGAGTGATTAGGGGCGATCAGGCAGGCAGGCAGGTGAGCAGTTAGGGGCGATTAGGCAGGCAGGCAGGCAGGCAGAGGGATTAGAGGTGATCAGGCAGGCAGAGTGGTTAGGGGTGATCAAGCAGGCAGGCAAGTGGTTAGGGGCAATGAGGCAGGCAGGCAGAGTGGTTAGGGGTGATGAGGCAGGCAAGTAGGTGAGTGGTTAGGAGCCAGCGGTCCCGGATTGCGAGAGGGATGTCCAACTGCCGATTTAGGAGGGATTGGGCCTAAACCAGCAGTCAAACATCCCCTGAGGTGTCCCAGATTGTGAGGGTGCAGGCCGGGCTGAGGGACCCCCTACCTCCATGCATGAATTTTGTGCACTGGGCCTCTAGTATTAAATAAAACTTTATAGACATTTTCTTTTGCTCCCATCCTATTTTTATTTCAAAAAGATATTTATTGTATATTCTATGCTTAAGTTCAAAATCAGCTAAAATGTTTTAGAAAATAGGGTATGTCCCTGTTTAACTGAATGGTAAGTACGAGGCAGCAAAGGCTGGAAAAGTTAGCAAACAACAGGCAGAGTTATGTGCATAAATTTCCGTTAAATTTGTGATTCAGTTTTCCATTGGAGAAAAGAATTATAAAATTAAAAAAATTTCTGCCAAACAGTTCAGTTTCTTAATGTGAAATGATATGCACTGTTGGGCCAGTATATTAGTGAAGCTTTTAAGAGTCTTGCTCTGAGAAGTTTTTCATTTTATAGATTTTGCTGTCCTTATCAAGGTAATAATAGCTAGCACTCACTTAGTGGGTACGACATGCCAGATGCCTTGTAAGGCTTCATGTAGAGTAACTCATTTATTCTCCCCACAAACTGTAAACGTTATGATGAAAACTGTTTAGGAAGTATATCTGTAATCAGCTGTACTTTTTACTTACTGATGCCACCTCTGTCTTCCTTTCTATAATAACAGCTAAATTGTCCCTTGTATTTTCATGAAATCCTCCTCAAAGTAACAATCAAGAAATTCTAATGTCTTCCAAGCAAGGAAGAAATTGTCCTGTGAGAACTTAAAATTGTTAAAGAAAAGGAGGTTATTCTTAGAATATAATAACATATTATTCTCTCTATATAAAAGGCTAATATGCAAAGTGTCCCCTTGGGAGTTTGACTGGGAGAACGGGAGTTCAATCGCTCGCTATGACATGCACTGACCACCAGGGGGCAGTGTGGAACGAAGGGAGGCCCCGGCCAGCAGCCAGAAGGCCCCTATCAGCCCTGATCGCTGGCCAGGCCTAGGGACCCTACCCATGCATGAATTTTGTGCACTGAGCCTCTAGTAATAATATAATATAGTTAGGCACTCAAAGATGTTGCTGATTGATAGAATACAAGACTTTCTTGTCAAGAATTAGAATTTTCTAGTCCCGGCTGGGTAGCTCAGTTGCAGGCTCGATTCCTTGGTCAGGGCACATACAAGAATCAACCAATGAGTGCATAAATAAGTGGAACAACAAATCGATGTTTCTCTAAAAAGTCAATGATTGGATTTTCCAATACTAACAGAATCTTCTGTCAATTGGCAACATTGTATAATACAATACAGTTATTTATAATATATTAAAAATTCCATTTTATATAGACATATTAAAAGTTCCATTTTATATATACATATATCTTTCAGACAATATAGGCTTTTTAAAAATATAACATTTCTTAAGTTGGATAGTGATAAAAATTTTGCCTCATATGAACATCATTTTCTCTTCTAGTTCCATCACCAGGACAGCTTCAACACAGAATCCACAGTGTGGGTCATTTCCCTGTGTCTGTCCGACAGCCTCTTAAAGCCACAGCCTATGTGAGCCCAACTGTTCAAGGCAGCAGTAACACGCCTTTATCCAATGGCTTACAATTATATTCCAACACTGGAATCCCCACACCAAACAAAGCTACCACTTCTGGGATCATGGGCCGCAGTGCACTTCCAAGACCTTCACTGGCAATAAATGGGAGTAACCTGCCTCGAAGCAAAATTGCACAACCTGTCAGAAGGTAAGAGTCTTCATCCCTAATGTCAAGCAGTGTGTCTACATTACTTCATTTGCAGTTTTAAATTAGACGCTGCTCCTGGCACCATCTTGCCTTTTTCTTGGTCTCAGTCTAACCCTAATAGTAGGCCATGCTACCCTTTTTGGCCTGACTTGTGTCCCTCTTCCTCTGGAAAGTGATGGATGTGGGTGTCCCTGTGTGGTCAAGTCTTCCTCTCTCTGATCTCATCTTCTTCCTTCCTCCCTCAACACTTCACCCTGATGCCCTGTTTGCTTTAATTTACCAGGAAAGCTCCACCTCCAGAACTCTTGCATTTTCCTTCCTTGAAGTTATTTGCAGGGCCTCCTCCCTCTCTCTCCCTTCTTCTCCTACTCCATTTATTAGTTTATAATGTGGTCTGACTCTCCTCACTAGAACGCAGGCTTCCTGAAGGGGGGTAGCTGATCCTTGCTTCATTGCTATATGTCCCTAATGTCAAGCGGTTTGTCCAGCACAGAGTAGGATCGCAAATGTTTTATGAATCAATTTTTCTATCAAAATGAGCCCAACTGTGTTAGGCACACATGCATGTGCACACATATACCTTCCCATCACATGCATGGTTAAAAAAACATCTTAGTGATAACTAGTGGGTTTTGTTAGCTTGTGTAAGTTCATTGTGGTCCAGGTAACAGTCCTCCCCACTCCACAATTCTAGATTACTTGCAGGACACATTTTAGATGAGCTCATAGTCATGAGGTACCCTTCTTGAACTTAGATATCCTGGAGTGTTTTATGGTTAAAAAAATTCTGTAAAAGTGGGTTGAGGAGAGCTTGGAAGATGAAACAACGGAGGCAGTAAATGTAAACAACTTTATAAGAAAAGAATATATGAAGGAGGAGAGGGAGGGAATCAGTAAATGTTTGAAAGGGATGTGGAAACAAGTAACTTTTCTTTATGCACTGGTATGTGTAAATAGTTTTGCTTTTTTATTTTCTGATTAGAAGTAATAGGTGCTCAGATCAGAAACAAATTCAGAAACTATTGAAAAACACAGAAAATAAAGGCTGATTTAGAATCCTACTACCCAGATAGAAATAACATATATTTGTTAAATAAATTCTCCCCCAGTAAATGCAGAGCTATGTTGTGATTATGGCTGAATAGAACATACATAGGTTATTTGACACATACTGTATAGGTAAATAGGACCATCTATTTGTCTCCAACCTAGCCTCCTGGAAAGGTTGTCACTACCAGATTATTTGTGAGGGTCTGTTTTCCAAAACTGGAAAACACTGGGAATTAATTATTTGCCAGTCTGATAGGCAAATGTTTGATTACCCATAAGGTTTAAAATTTCTTCATGTTATGCTCTGGCCGGTGTGGCTCAGTTGGTTGAGTGTCATCCCATGCACCAAAAGGTCTTGGTTCTATTCCCAGGTTGTGGGTCCCTGATTGGGGTGCATATGGGAGGTACCCCATCAATGTTTCTTTTACCCTCTCCCTCTCTCTATAAAAAGTCAATAAAAGCATGCTTTTAAAAATTTATGTTAATTTGCTGTTTATAGTCAATGAAATAACTGTTTGTTTTGGGGCCATTTTTTTCTATTGAGTTTACCTTTTTCTTTCTGATTAAAGTGTGTTTTATACATTAAGGGTATTGATCATTTTTCTCTCATGCCCACGCAGAGTACATAGCACTGTGGTGAGCACTGGGTTTCTAGCAGATGCGCATGTTGCAAAGCTCCAGAGTGTTGAACACAAGACTCACTTGGGGAAGTGCCAACAGGTTGTCAGGACTGGAGGAGCCGATGAAAGGAAGCAACGTGACCCGTAGGGTTATTTTTTATATATATATAATATATATTTTTATTGATTTCAGAGAGGAAGGGAGGGGGAGAAATAGAAACATCAATGATGAGAATCATTGATTGGCTGCCTCCTGCACGCCCCCTAGTGGGGATGAGCCCGCAACCTGAGCACGTGCCCTTGACCAGGAATTAAACCTGGGACCCTTCAGTTTACAGGTTGATGCTCTATCCAGTGAGCCAAACCGGCTAGGGTGACCCGTAGGGTTATTAACACTCTGTTTCCTTTTTCTCACCTTTATAGTTTCCTTCAGCCTCCAAAGCCTCTGTCTTCACTCAGCACTCTGAGGGACGGAAACTGGAGAGATGGTTGCTACTGACGCAGTTTTACCTTGAAGAGTGGGAAAGAAGTGGAAATGAGGGTTGTATTACCTAGCTGGCTGGGTAACAGTGGATGTCAGGATATTCTTTCCCTTTTGCATTTTAACATACTTACTGCATTGTTTTTCAATGAACCAATCACCAGAGACTAATTATTGCACTTAAATATTTGCCTGAGATACTGCAGCATTCTCAAATCCATGGTTGCAGTATTGCGACACTTAGATCTAGAAAGTTTTTGTAGAACTGCTACGTACCTGAACACTTTTTGAGAGAATTGAGATGTATCATTAATGCTTTCTTTGCCATATGAGTTTTTAAAGTAACTTGTTCAATTTACTTACGTGTTCTAAACATCTTCCCAGTACATGTTCTGTGTTTTAATACATTACATATTTACAAATATGTTCGATCAATGTATGCTTTGAAATTTACTTTTTTATAGTTTACAGGAATTTTATTTTTTTGTGCCTATTTCTTTTTACACCTACGTGAACCACTATGGAACAACTTAAATTTTGTGCCATAAAAATATTTTTGTGGTAAGGGACTATTTTTTTAACTCTGAGGATATATCAGCAAAAATCCACCAAACAGTTTCAGAGACATAATTTTGTGTTGAATGAGCACTGTGTAATCTGAAGCATTGCAAGGAGGTAGCCAGACAGCAAGTTAAATGGTCTCGTCTTTTTCATTGTTAATTTATTGTCACACATGGGTTTCATATTTATAAAGGCATCACAAGCTCATTGCACTTAATACCGGCAATGTTTGCTACTATACCACCACCGATTTTCAATACTTTATTACAGAGGATGAAACTGTAATGTTTTATTAACAATGCTTCTGGAAATGAATGCATTTTAAAGCAAATAAATCTTTTGATAGACCTTTTACAAAACCCATTTGCACTAATGAATGCTTTTCTTATGGTATATGACTTAATATTTGTTACTGTGTACACTGCTGTTTTGGAATGTTCAGAAATAAAGACTATTTCAGCAATATCAGGTCATGTATGAATGTGCAGCATAAATGTATGCATACCATATATATATCTCATCACAGTCGTGAATGTGGTCATTGTTGCTACGTTCTCATGCAGGGCATTTATAGCTAAAGCAAGTAGATAGAATATCCACATTTGTAAAAATTATTTCCTTCTCTAAAATACTTGTAAGGTTTAGTTTTAGTCCTATTTAGAAGGGCGACTAGAAAACTCAAGTAGCCTGTTGCCCAGAAACACATTTATGGATGAACATGACCAGGGGAGATTTTAATACTTTGTGGGGATTGAACTTGAAATACTTTCTCAGTATCAGCAAAATATTATCGTTATTCCACATTATATTTGATAGTTGTTGGAAGACTTTTCATCTGAAGGTACAGTTATGGAAAGGTGATGCAAAGGTTTTAATGTTTAAAAATAGAGTTCTGCTTGAAGTCCTTGGAAATTTTTATTTTTTTAAAAAAATGTGCCTTTAGATAGAATTCTATCCAAAATTAAAAGATTGGCTTTAAAGTAGCTTGTACTTTAAGTGAAGTGTGAGCTAGAGGAGGAGAGGTATCAAGGGGGAAGTGGTATGCAATAAGCACTTCTTTAGTGACAAGACTGTGCTAGATATTTTGTATACATTCGTCTAATTCTAATAATAATCAATGTTGTCACAAGTTTAAAAGTAGAGGCACTGATCCCTAGAAATGTGACATTAACCTTGTGTTAAAATTGATAAAACTTTATCCAGAAATGGTGAAGCTGGCTTCTGAACCCAGGTGTTCCCAGTCTCAAAAGTCTGTTTTTCCCACAATGCTCTCTTCCTATGAACACGTGTAGTTAAGTTAGTACATTTTTCAAAATGAGTTTATATTCTGCTGAGGAAGTTAAAGGATCCAATTCATTTTCAATTCACATGTTTCATTTATATTAAAAAAAGTCTGTTCAGCCCTTGGAATCAAAAACAAAAATCCCTGCATTTTAGACTTTACAGTCTAATTAGGGGGAGAGACAGTAAACCATAAACAAGTAAGTGAATCACAGTATGTTAGGGCCTAAGTGCTATGGGAGAGAAAGAGAAAAGAAGATCAGTGTAAGAGGAGTTGAGAATCTGGAGATGGGGAGAGATCACACTAATAAGTGGAGTCCTCCAGGCAGCTTTCAGTAAGGAGTTGACACCTGAACAAAGACTTGGAGCCAAAGAGACAGACTGAGTCCTGAAGCTTTCATGGCCTCTTTTAGCTAGTGTCACAATTCTCCCTAGGTTCGTACTTAACAATTATTCTAGGTGCATAGGAGAGAATTTAAAACGTTGCATACATCGGATGCCTTAGGGTAGTGGTTCTCAAAGTGTGATCCCCACATCAGCATTAGCCTCTCCTGGGAATTTACTAGAGAAGCAGGTTCGCAAGCCCTCCCCAGATCTACTAAATCAGCCCTCTAGGTGAAATTTGGAGCAATACAGGTCTACCTCTAGAAACAAGAAAAATATCAAGTAAATAATCTAATACTTAGGGGAACTATAAAAAGAACAAAGACAGTCCAAAGTGAGTAGAAGGAAGGAAATAATAAAGATGAGAACAAATAAATGAAATAGAGTCTAAAAAAAAAAACCCAACCCAACAACAATAGAAGAGATCAATGGAACCAAGAGCTGGTTCTTTGATAAGATAACCAAAATTGATAAAACTTTATCCAGATTTGTCAAGAAAAAAAGAGGGCCCAAATAAAATCCAATGAAATAGAAATGATAGCAGATGTTAAGTGAAATAAGCCAGTCAGAGAAAGATAAGTATCAAATGATCTCACTTATACATGGAATCTAATGAATAGACTGATCAGCAAAACAGATCCAGAGACATGGAACAGACTGATGAGTCTGAGAGGGAAGGGGGGCAGTGAGGGATGGCAGGAAGAGATTAACCAAAGAACTTATATGCATAACCCATGGACACAGCAGGGCCTGGGGGTGGGGGTGAATATGGGGTGGAGGGGTTCACTGGAGAAAAGGGACATCTGAAATACGTTCAACAATAAATTTTAAGGAATGGCAGCAGAAACCACAGAAATACAAAGGATTATAAGAATATACTATGGACAATTATATGCCAACAAATTGGACAACCCCCCAAAATGATAAATTCCTAGAAACATATAATCTTCCAAGGCTGAATGAGGAAGAAACAAAAAAATAGCATTGGAAATCCTAACCACAGTAATTAGACAAAAATAAATAAAAGGTATTCAAATTGGAAAGAAGTAAAACTGTCAATATTTGCAGATCACATGACATCATATAGAGAGAACTCTAAAGAATCCTCTAAAAAACTAGAACTAAAAAATGAATTCAGTAAAGTATCAGGATTAATATTCAGAAATTGATTACATTGATATCCTAAAAACAAACCACAGAGAGATTTTTCTGATATTAAGTAGCTTTATCAGATTTCTTTTAGTATTTATGATACACGTTTTAAAGTCACACCTTTATCATTTTGATGTTCAACAGTTTATAGTTCAATTTTTTTAACCTTGTATGAGAAATTTTGCCCTTCAACTTGAGCAGGACAAGCCATCTATCTATATTAAAGACTAATATGCTAAGTGTCCTTCCCACCTTCTGACTGGTTGCTATGATGCTCACTGACCACCAGGGGGCAGATGCTCAATGCAGGAGCTGCCATGACATGCACAGAGAAACGGCACTGCAGACCTGGAGCCCAGAAAGCAACACTTGGCTTCCCCCAAGTGGGATACAGGCCCCACCACCACCCCAGAGCAACAGCCCACCAAATCACAGCCAACGCTGCCGAGACCCCATGGCGAAAAATGCAGCCCATAGCCCAGCCCAGAAACGGCCGCTGTGAGGGCCGGGTAATGATGTCATGTAGCAATGGCCTGCTTCTTCTCCCTAGCAACTAGCCTCCTTGGAGTTCCAGGAATACAGGTGTAAACATTTTACACTTTAACCAAATGTCTGTGAAACGTTTTTCCGTACCTCATCTCATTTGATCCTCACAGAAGTCCTGGAGTAGGTAGATAGGAGAATCCTATTTTCTTTTCATTAGCCAGAAAACAGAGATTTAGGAAGCTTAGAAATTTGACCCGACTGAAAAGAAGTAAGAAATGGTGGAACTTGAAAATGACTTCAGGTTTTCTCCCAGCGCAGAATATAGTCAAACACTGTGGCAGTTAAATATTTTACCCTTTGTTCTCCCTGCGTGATCTACAATAATAACCTGCTTCATGTTGATATTTACTGCTATGTTGCTGACAATTACCTGAAAGAGAAGTTGGGGAGCTTCGCTGGGCTGGAAAAAGTTTAGCTACATCAGAAAGCAGGTCTAATTAAGCAAGTTTATTCTACATATATAAAAGGCTAAGTTGACTTGCGCTTGTGTGATACATATAAAGCTCTCGCTGGCGCCAAATGCATGCATGTGTTTCAATCTGTCATTGTGGATCATGAATTTGGTTGACACTTCTATTATAGAGAAAGGACGAATAGCGATTTTAAAATATTTCTTCTAATTAATTTCCTTTCAATGTGTACGAATTCATGCACTGGGCCACTAGTATATTTATATGAAACAAAGCTAATGATTAGTGTATACAGTAAAGAAAAAAAACAGTTCATATCAAATATAACTTTGGTAATATATAAAACATGTGAAATGGCAGCTAAAACCATAAAATGTTGGGGGGGATTAAAATTGTAGGGCTTTAGTAATTACTCAAACCTAAGTTGTTATCAACTTACAATTGACTATTATAAATATGTTATTATATATAAGCATCATGGTAACCACAAAGCAAAAACCTATAGTAACTACACAAAAGATGAAGAGAAAGCAATCTAAGCATACCACACACACACACACACACACACACACACACACAGAGAATCATCAAATCACAAAGAGAGCAAGAAGAAGAAAAAAGATAAAGTACAAAAGAGCCAGAAAACAATGAACAAAATGATAATACGTACACAGCTACCAAGAATTACTTTATATGTAAATTAACTAAATGCTCCAATCAAAAGACAGAGTAAGTTGGTTAAAAACAACAATACCCATCGATATGCTGCCTATGAGAGAGACTAACTTCAGATGACACACACATATTCAAAGTAAAGGGTTAGAAAAAGATATTCTAGGCAAATGGAAACCAAAAAGAAGCTGGGGTGGCTATACTCATACCAGACACAATAGACTTTAAAACAAAGACTGTAGGTGATGCCAGCCTCATGGCGTCATGAGATATGCCTTTAAAAAAAAAAAAAATTTCCCTTTCTTTTTTCTCTCTCCTTGAATTTTTAAATAATCAGACATCCATAATAATTTTTAAAAATGCCTCTGCACAGCACACCAGAATCCCTAAGAGATCCATCCATTTGTGCAGCCAAAAAGTGGGTGGATTGGAACTTGGAGGAAGTTACAGAGCCGAGGGAGTTGTGGTCAGCCTCTAGCAGTAGTAAGCTCTAGCAGAGGAGGCGGAAAGTGAAAGTGGTGAGTGGAAATACACCAGGCTGTGCTGGCTGCAGCTGGGGTGGGGGGAATCCATTCCTCTTCCTGAGGAAGGCCCTTCCTGACTAGGGGGAGGGAAAGGAAAGGGAAGAAGGCAGACAAAGAGAACTGAGGACTATGCTTCCTGCCATCTGCCCTGGGATTTCAATAAGAGATCTATCAGCTAACCTCTGGAACTCCTTCCACTTGAGAATTCCTCTACTGGGTTGTGGGCACACCCTAAACTTCAGGTGCTAAGCCCACACCTCCCTCTGCTGCCAGCTTTTTAAAAATTTTTTATGCCAACACACACACTCCCAAGCCTGTCAAGCCAAAACTTGTTCTATAGTGCCACCTTCTGGAAAGCAAAATAAAGTTTCTCCTTGCCAACCTGATGAAATGTTAGAATCATACAAAACCATCCCTAAATAAGAATGGTGTTCGCTGCTTCAAATGTGATGGCAGAGCACATTTCATCAAACGTTATGAAAAACTAGGGTACT